GTTATAATCCAATTCTACATATCAAAGGATATTTGCAATGTGGTCACATGGCTGTCGAGATTCTCTGGGTCGAAAAAAGAATCAAAAAGAGCAGATGAATCCTCATCCATATTCTAAAAGATAACAATACATGTATAAATAAATTATCTTTTTTCCTTCCTGTTAGATAGTAATTCCTATTAATAAGCATAAAAATATAAAAAAATTGATAACTTTTAATTGATAATTTTCTTTTATATATAGATTATCTATATATTAATCTATATATAGATTAATATACATCATTCCTAATTATTATAATATCATTTCCATGAAAGAAAATTAAATATTACAATTAATTTTATTTTTATACTGATTCAATAGATTTTTTCTAAAAAATTTATTTCAGACGAAATTGAAATTATTGCTTATTAAAGAAAATAATTATATGATAATATTTAAATAACCAAAAAAAAGAATACAATGCGGAATAGATTTATAATACAATTTGCTGAAAGTAATCAATAAAAAAGTACAATAGGTGCAAGTAAAATACAATAATAACTATTCGCCAATAGCGTATTTTCGCAACAGTTTCAGATAGAGATCGATCAGCTGGGACAGTGCAATCAGACCTAAACCCCTCTCCCCGCTATCAATCCCGAATAACAGATAGAAACGGGGCAAATCGAAAATTTCTTGGCAATGCTCGAGGTTGCCAAAGTTTGCTGATAAGGATGCCAATTAAGGCAGCTCCAAGCTCTAATCGTCGATTTACCAAAAGTTTCTGGCTGTAATTTCTGCGCCATCGCCGGCAAGCGAAATTGTAACCCAGTTCTCGAGAGGATTTAACCAATCGAATCGATACGCAAGATCAATTTTCCAAGATTTCCCGTCAATATTTCAATTGTTTCTATACGCTTGGAAGACCATAATTTATTTATCTTTCAAACAACATGAGATAAGACAAGGGTACAAAATTAAAGTATTATAATTGATATCAGATGCCAATAGAAAGAAAATTGAATTAAAATGAAAAAACAAAACCGTGAAATCTTAAAATAAAAGAAATGAAAAAAAAAGACGATCACGTGTCACCAATATAGATTAACTTTAATGACGGTTCAACTTCCTCTTTAGCATGAAGCATAAATTAAATCGAGATTACGGTTAATTTGCATTGATAAAAATGCAGAATGTAATATATAAAACAAGGTAAGATTAGCATTTGTGAAAACTGACAATCAGCAGAGAAAAGATATCCTAGGCAATCAGACATGCTCAAAGTTGATTCTCTTTGTCAAGAGGGTAAGGCTAAACTAATAAGAAGAAAGTCGGAGGAAGAAGAAACTGGAGGGAAGAAGGGAAGATGAATAAGGCTGTCGGGAGTAAACGAGTGAGAAAAGAAGTCGATCCGCGCCAGGAATTGGAATGATCGAGCCGTCGACTTGCCATGGCAACTGCGGACAACAAGCTGTCAGATGATGGGCAGAGTTTTTGATCAATAATACCGGCAGTGACTGGTTACCTGCCGGCAGTTCTCGAGTTCGATATACGGAGTCGCGCGAATAGTGATTTTGACTCCAAACAACAGCACGTGGCTGCCGAGTGTAGTAAGGACAGAGGGTGGCAAAGGGGTTAAGAGAGGGTGGTTCCGACACGTGACGAAGCGGCGAGCGACGTGTACCAGGCTGAGTCACGGAGGATGGATTTGAGCGATGCGATTTTCGATCGAGAGATGCTAATTTCTCGTCCCTGAATTACGAACTCGAGTTCGAGTCGCTAGTCAGCTTAGAAGTAGCACTAACTACTGCCACTCTTAAGCGATACCGACGTTTCGATGCCTTGAATATATCTATCTATTATAAAAGTCTGACCTACTAAATTTATACGAGCATTTTATTAGATTTGAAAGAGAGTGAAGAAATGGCGCAATAAAGAAAAGAGATTAAAACTTATTAATAAAAAAAATTTTTCTCGCCAAAAAAGAAATTACAGAAAAATCTTCTAAATATATTCTTAAGCAAACATATTATTATTTAATAATATAACAACTTTTAAAATGTATGCTCTAACAAAAAATAATATTAAATAATAATAAATAGTTTTCTATTTTCTCGAGATAACTTTCTGAAGTATAAGTTAAAAACTATTGCAG